TGTGCTGATCATCAAAATGTTATCTGTGTGTGAAAAAACTAATGGATTACAAAGCAAAGAGATAACTTTTACATGACCTTTGTGAGTGATAGTATATCTGTCTGGAGAATGGTTTGATACCAAAAAGTATCCTGGCAAATTCTAGATCCTCAACTAAAATCAAGGTCCAAGAACCTCCATATGGACTGAGATTTCTGCTGGTGAAATATGGGTGAATTCTGGGAAAGCAGGGAAATGGAGATACAGAGCAGAAAATTTTAAGTGAAAAGTGAAAAGCAAAGTAGGTTTTGAGCCAGTAACAGTAAGTTAGTCTCAGAAATATAATTACTGAACATCCAAGTAATATAGAGTAATGATGTCTACAAACTGGACTATAAAGACAGAAGAGGAAGAAGAAAGCTTTGATGGTTTGATGGGTAAAGGTATTCTTTCTATTTCTTATCCCAAACTCTATGTTCATATAAAATATTTTCCTAAAAGAACAAAACAGGCTTATTTTCTCCATGGTTTACCAAGGTTGATGTAGCCAGCTTTCCAGGGTTTCTGGTAAGTCATGGGTTTGTAACCCTCTAACTGAGGAAACTGACTGATTAGATCCAAGGGGCCAAAACTGATACTCGTAGCTACAAAAGAGTGTGTTGTGAAGCACAGTTGTGAAGTTTTATTACTTCAGTGCAAAAGCTCTGACTGAATTTATCTAAATGTTCTGCAAATGTCATATGAACAGTGGTTCTGCAGTTTGTGGGGGTTTTTTGATTACTAAACATGTAACTGCAAATTCGAAACCTGAATTTCATAGATTTCATAGATTTCTAGGTTGGAAAAGACCTTAGAGATCATCCAGTCCAACCGTCCCTAATCCCCATTAAACCATATCGCTAAGTAGATCATCCACCCTATTCTTAAACACATCCAGGGATGGGGACTCAACCACCTCCCTGGGCAGCCTATTCCAGTGGCTGACAACCCTTTCAGAGAAGAAATACTTCCTAACATCCAACCTGAATCTCCCCTGACTAAGCTTATACCCATTTCCTCTTGTCCTATCACCCATCACTAATGTAAAGAGCCCTTCCCCTACCTCCCCACCATCCCTTCTCAAGTATTTGTAGGCCGTAATCAGGTCTCCCCTCAGCCTCCTCTTTTCCAGGCTAAACAGCCCCAACTCCCTTAGCCGCTCCTCATAAGTTTTATTTTCCAGCCCCTTGACCAGTTTAGTCGCCCTTCTCTGGACTCGCTCCAGGAGCTCAATCTCTCTCTTAAAGCCAGGGGCCCAAAACTGGACACAATATTCCAGGTGCGGCCTCACCAGTGCCGAGTACAGGGGCAGGATCACTTCCCTGTTCCTGCTGGTCACACTATTCTTGATACACGCCAGTATCCCATTGGCCTTTTTGGCCACCTGGGCACACTGCTGGCTCATATCAAGCCGGTAGTCAACCAACACCCCCAGGTCCTTCTCTGCCAGGCAGCTCTCCAGCCACTCTTCCCCGAGCCTATAGCGATGCTTGGGGTTTTTATACCCCAAGTGAAGGACTCTGCACTTGGCCTTATTAAAGCTCATGCCATTGGCCTCAGCCCAACGATCCAGTCTGTTCAAATCCCTCTGAAGGGCCTCCCTACCCTCCAGCAGATCGACACAGCCTCCCAGCTTGGTGTCGATCTGCTTGGTGTCGAATTCAGTTGCTGAACTGAAATGAAGAGGAAATGCAATTTTGCATGAAGGAACAAGTTCAATGCTTTGAATGTGGAGTTGCCTTCAATTTATTTATAATTCAGTAAGTGTGTATGAACTATTTAAATACCTTTTGATTGTCAACTTGTGTATATAGGCTTTGATTTCAGAGGAAGACCTTGTTTTCCTATAACAAGAAAGGCAGGAAATACAGTTTTAATAGTAAACAAGCCTCAGTGGGATCAAAGCATTAACCATTCTCTGTGTCTCTTCAATTACCGCTAACAGGTTGAGCTACTGCAATCACAGAACAGATCGTATGATTACCTGTTTTGGGAGGCACTTCTTGTACGTTACCATGTTTAAAAACACACTTATGCACGCAAACACCGAAAGATGGGTCTCAGAAAACGTGATGTTAGCAATAAGATTGTTTTATTATACTTGCAATAAACAACTCCCTATAGGTCCCAAAATGCAACAGAATTTCTTAAAAAACATGAACCACATTCATTTACCATTTCAGAGAAAATAAATAATTTTCAAGCGTTGGTACACTGCCTTGAGTATCTGACTGCATTGGTGCAAAAATGGCCTGATTTCCTACAGAGTAAAACCTCAATTTACAGAAAATCAGACAAGCTGTTCGTATTCTTTTCTCTTTAAAAACTACTTTGAACCAAAAAAATAGGTATGACTTTTCTTGGACTCATGTATAACGTGGTAGACTGTTGTGTCAGCTATGTAAAAAAGTACCAGTCTAGGTTTAATCTGCATTTTAATATGCTCAGCATACCTATTACACTTTTTAATTTAGTTGCAGATCAATATTATAGAAGTAGGAACGAAAGAGTTTGGTTTTATCTTATTTTAAGATGTGCTGCTTTTCTTTACAAGTTATTCACAAAACACAGGCAGTCTGGTGCCTGAACCTAAGAATGTTACTCCTAAACTGGCATTGTTTATTGAAAGTAATATCATTGCTGTGATACTTCAGAAAAAAATTAATTCTTGTTACAAGAAGCAAAGTTAATTCATAAATGATACTAATTATGTAGCTGCTTTCAGAATCTTTGTACTAATATTTCAACACAAATAGATTTTTTTTTTCTAGTAAAACTGAGCACTACCGTAGAGTAATTATTTCCTGCAAAATTTAATCCAAGATCAGTTTAAATGGAGAAAAAGTGTTTGTCCATTATGTTAGACATTCTTGCATTTGACCATTAGCTAAACAGGCTAAATTAGGTTCTTTTAATTTATAAAAAAAGACTATATCTCACAGATATGTGAGAAGTAAACAGAAGACTGGTTATGTTCGTCACTTATAGAGTAATGCAGACGGTACTGAAAATTTAAAAAATAAAACCACTGCTGTGTCTTTTGAAAAGACAGAATTCCTCTAACTGTTCAAAAATTCATAATCAGATCAAGCTGAGTAACCCAGTAAAGTTCTAAAGGTAGAAAGACCTTAGATGTATAGTCAGAAATATCAAGAGAACCAGTTATTGCATGGCACAGAAGGATTGTTCTCAGCTCTGGGATATGCCAAAGAGAACATAGAATCATATCATAGAATGGTTTTGGTTGGAAGGGACCTCAAAGATCACCCAGTTCCAACACCCCTGACGTGGGCAGGGAAAACTTCCACTAGATACGGTTGCTCAAAGCCCCATGCAACCTGGCTTTGAACACTTCCAGGGATGGGGCATCCACAACTTCCCTGGGAAACAAGATCTACAAGATCTGATTAAGTCTGACAAGGGCAGTGTTACAAATGTGAACTCCCCCAGGAACTTTGTCAGTTTTGAGCGGTAAGGACTGTTTGACCTCAGGGAAAGTGTATTTTACATGCTTACTCTGGAACAAAAATCAACTCTTACAGAGAGTCTTCTGCCCATGAGACCTGCGGGACTGCTGAAGGCATTTCACCTGTTTCAGTGTCTCACTACCCTCAGAGTGAAAAATTTCTTCCTTATATCTAGTCGAAATCATAGAATCATAGAATCATAGAATGGTTAGGGCTGGAAGGGACCTTCAAAGGTCATCTAGTCCAACCCCCCTGCAAGGAACAGGGATATCTCCAACTAGATCAGGTTGCTCAGGGCCTCGTCCAACCTGGCCTTGAATGTCTCCAGGGATGGAGCATCCACCACCTCTCTGGGCAACCTGTTCCAGTGTTCTACAACTCTCATGGTAAAAAATTTTTTCCTAATATCCAATCTGAATCTACCTCCCTCTATTTTAAAACCATTACCCCTTGTCCTACCCTCTTTCATTTTAAAGCCATTGTCCCTTGTTCTGTCACTACATGCCCTTGTAAAAATTCCCTCTCCAGCTTTCCTGTAGGCCTCATTTAGGTACTGGAAGGCTGCTAGAAGGTCTCCCTGGAGCCTTCTCTTCTCCAGGCCGAACAACTCCAACTCTCTCAGCCTTTCTTCAAAGGAGAGGTGCTTCAGTCCTCAGATAATTTTTGTGGCCCTCCTCTGGACCCACTCCAACATGTCCATGTCCTTATGTTGCGAGTCCCAGAGCTGAACGAAGTACTCCAGGTGAGGTCCCAAAAAAGTGGACTAGAGGGACAGAATCACTTCACTCAACCTACTGGCTGTGCTTCTTTTGATGCAGCGCAGGACATGGTTGGTGTTCTGGGCTGCCACTGTACATTGCCGGCTCATGTTGAGCTTCTCATCAACCAACACTCCCATGTTCTTCTCCTCTGAGCTGAAGAACTCATCGGAGGTAGGGTAAACAAATAGACTCTGAAGAGCTCTGTTTGGCAGCTATTGCTGTGAAGCTGTTGGATCCGTATTGGTCTGACAGTCAATATTGTAAATATTGTCAATTTTTTAATATATAAATTATTTGTTATTTAATGCCTATCTTTTCATGGAAAGTGATATTACTGGTATGCGCTCACAAACTGAGGAATCATTTCAAGAGCCTTTCATATTTTGTGGAAACATCCAGTTTGATTAGTTGTTACTTCATCATTAGTTGCTACTTCCCAAAAAAGAAGAATCCAAATATTCTTATCATTCATACATCAATAATTACTTTTTAACAGTTTCTTTACACAACCATTCTCAGTGTCATACTTCTGTTGAATGATCATTTGATACTGCTTTGTGTTAGACAACCCATATCCCTTCAACAACTCCAATTATGTCAAATGGAAGCATTTTGAGAGCCTCAGGCTAATATAAATATGTGAATTTGATAGCTTAGGCTAAACTATTGACTATTTTGATTGTTCCTTTGACCCACCAACTTCTTCCAATCTTTTTGTGCCTGATGTTTAATTTTTCTTGTGTTTACCCTACAGGGCTCTATGAAAACTATCCAACCAATGCAGAACCAGAATGCTGTGATGTCAGATGGGGACTATTATCAGATCATCAATCCAAAGGGACTATAAAAACAAGTGGCTCAAAAATGTGTCACAGGACATCGCTCACAGTTTCATCAGCATCAAGACTGTGTAACAGCAGACTTAAACTGTGTGTTCTTGTATTAATTCTCTTACATACAGTACTTACAGTCTCAGCAGCACAGAACTCAACAGGACTGAGCTTTGGAGGCATAACCACTTTGGAAGATAATTCAACCAATGAGGAATAAAAGAAAGGATTCATCTTATACGATAGACACAACAGGCCCAAATGACTACAGTCAAAAATAGCAAGAACTGAGTGCTTTACCCTCAGATCTCTTCTTGAATGACCTTTTGGGTACAATGAAAAGAATGGGCCACTACCCAAACAACAAGGACACACGAACACAGCTTTTTATTGACTAAAAGGCTGTATGGTGACTTAAATTTCTCACACCATTTTATACACTGTGTTTTAATGTTTGGAGTTTCTTTTTTGTTTGTTTTTTGCACTTGTTAATACAGGATTTTATTTTTGGGACGGTTTCTCAAAGCTAAATTAAGTCTTTTCTCTGTCGATATATTTCTAGTCATTGTGTGTGTGTTCATCTGATAGTTCTGTCTTTTATGTCCTGTCAGTTTCTATTAGAGGAATGACTGCTATGATTCCATGACATAGCAAAAAAAAAAAAAAAAAAAAAAAAAAGGAAAAAAATACAAAAAGAACAAAACAAAATTTAACAAAAAAAAAAGAAAAAAAAAGAAAAGAAAAAAAGGTAACCACAAAAAAACCCTAAACAAACCTAACTGTCCTCTTACCCATGGAAACCATTCATCTCCTTTCCCCTCCCATCTCCTGTCGCAGACAACGTACATTTGCTTCTGTCTGTGTAATCACAATGAATGGGTACACAATTCCAGTGTGCCTCTGCCACTGTTGCACAAACCAGTTGACTGAGCAAACCCAAAAGGAGTATGAAGGGGGTTCCTTTTAGCTGAACAAACAAGTGCTCTCCTTACAAGGTGGGATCGGACAGTTAAAAAATGTAAAGAAATATATAACAAACTGTTGCTCCAATACCCATTTTGAAGAAGTCCAGTCCTTTCTCACTGGTCAGTTGAACAGGAGCAGCCTTTTCTAGATACGCTATGTAAAACCAGTTATGCTCAGCAAGTTGAGTAGTTGGGAAGCCTTCATATTGGAGGTGAAGGATTGGCATTCATTGTGAATTACGTTTTGAGTTCTTCTGCTGTCGCATAACCAGCAGCTTTTCATAAGAAATGGGAGCAAAGACCTTCCAAAATTCAAGTCTTTTCATCTCAACAAAATTACGCTAGAAGCCTTTGGGCATCTATAATATAAAATATCTCTTTGGTTTTGGTTCCATTGTTTTTCTAATATCTACATGTTGTTCAAAGTTACTCTAGTTGTTAAGGGTGCATAAGAATGTGTTAGCACAGATAAGAAGCTATTTTGTTTTAAATATATAGGACAACCATTTTCATAAATGTGCAATAAAAACAGTAAAGATATACTAGGATATGAGTAGTCAAGAGAAAAGATTGTAATCTGATTGCTGATTTTTCATTGTTTGGGGTGGTTTTTAATTTGTTTACTTTTATTTTTGTGGGAACATTTCACCTGCTGAGTGTATGAGAATTTGCTTTTTAAAAAGGCTTTTTAGAGTTTACAGTAGAATCAATGGAAGGAAAAGTTAATAAGGGCTGTTTTTAAAAACTTTACATTCCTTCCTATTCTCTAACTACACTTGGGAAGTGCACTTTAGAGATGTTTGCTGTGTAGCTGGGAGATGAAGGAAAACTATAGGAAATGTTCTCTTAGGAAATAAAATATAGTTACCTACTTTCTAGCTATGAAATACCCCTTGATAATTATTAATGTTGTAAGAACATTTAATCACTGGTGCATAATGCATTTTTTGTATACACTTTATGGTCTGTTAAATTCTGGAGAAAAACAAAAAGAAGATAACCATACTGCTTAAGCGGTTCAAGATGCACATGTTAAGCTGCTAAAGCTCAAATATTTTGCAAGAGTTATTTCTTTTGATAGTGGTTTACTACAACCTGGACTGAGGAGCCTAAAATGATCTGTGCAAATATGACAACAACAAAAAGCACCAGCTAATGCAAAATTCTTCAGCACTGGTTTGTTTCTATAATTAATCCCTTCCTCTTCTTGCACATGCTATATTTTGTTCAATAAAACATGGTGCTTTTTAGTTATTTTATTTTCTTTTAGAGGCACATGTATTAATTATATCGAATTGATGCAAAAAGTGGGGGGAAATGTGGAAATGCAAATGAAAAAGCCTTAACTAATGGTAGAATGTAGACTTTTGAAAGGACAGAGATGTTTTTGAAAAGTGATGGAGCAATAACTGGGCAGTGCTCTGGTACTGTACATCAGCTGATGAGTCACACTACTGAGAAAGCTCTTACTAGGTGAGCTCTTGTTCAACTGACCTCTTAATTCTAGTAAGTGTACATGGTCAGTAAACAGTTTGTTATAACCTTTATCTACCTCTGCTGTGCAAAGGCCATCCAACATTCATTTCTGTGATGTTTCTCATAGTTTTTTGTTCACACCATTTCTCACTGTCATCTATTTTTACGCTGTACCAATGCAGTAGCACGTCTGGTTCATCCCAATTGAAATGGCACATGAAGAAGAGTTATTATTTCTGTTTAGCCTCATGGTGAATTAATGTAGAGAGCTATCTTTAAGGCATTTTCTTTCTTCTCTCCTGCTCTTCTTCATCCTTCATCTCTTATTTTTCTATAAAAATGTTTTCAGGTGGTGTCAGTGAAAAATATGACTCCTCCACTGCTTGGCTACACTCAGTCATGGGTCATAAAACATGAGAGAGACATGAGGAAAAACAGTGACAACACCATCACATGCATAAGGTAGCCAAACTAAACTTGGGCAAAATGAAGCAGAAAACAATTACAGACTTTCAATTATTACACAAGTACAAGATGTAATAAATTCCTCCCCTTCTCTCCACCTGGATTCAGTGCCTGCAATTCAGTGGTCTGTGAATTTTCTCTGTCATCTTTTTGAGGTCTACTTTAATTTTTGAAACAAAGAGTCATGTTGCAGAGGTGACTACTGCTGGGGTATCTGTTGCCATTTTCACTCCAGCAGTGTGGTATGCAGCTTCTCTTGGTGGGACCTGGAACATCAGGAGTAGACAAAGACTCTTCTATGAAGTTAAGCAACACGTAATCATGTATGATGCAAAATTCCATTCCATCCATTCCTCATTCGTAATAGTTTTCCTGGCACAAACTTAAGCATGCTTGATATTGTGCACATATTACTTTTTTGCCAGAATAAATTTGCATCTTGCCACTGTTATAACTGCCATCTCGTTCCATTTCTCCTTGTACTGTATACCTAATACATACATGATAAAGAGCTGGCTTAACAAAGAACTAATACTAAAATATTTCTGCAAATGACTGATGAGAAGAAAAAGAAAAAAAAGAATAATATTTATTTTATGATCATATGGAAGAGAGAAATTTCCCATGTCTTTTATCGTCTTATTTTCTGCAATAGGGAAAATCCAGATTTTGTGCAATATGTTAATACTGCTAAGCCAAATGTCATATAACACAACCAGAGCTATGTTATTCCTTATTGCATTTGCATTCAGTAATACATTATATTGATGCGTTTTTTCATTAAAGAGACAGTATCTTTTTTTTTTAATAATGCAGGTGAATGCTGTCCTTCTGCACTCCATAATTTAAAGACAGAAACCAACAAAAAGTTAGAATGAAGTTTTAGTTCTATAAATGATGAAACCAAGCCATCAGCTGCCAAAGAATCTGTAGAACAATAGATACTTACCAAACATAGTCTTTCAAGAAATTCTTTCTTGAGGTTTAAAAACAATGTTATTCTAAGTGATTAGAGGAGAAAGAATGAGAGCTGTATTTCAAACCGCAGAGATGGCAGGTTTCATCTGGTCGGCAATGTTATATAGCTTATATAGTTACACTCTTCTATCAAGTAAGGGACAAGGACATTGTCTTCTGCTCCCTCTGTATTTGTGATGATAAAGAATGTCCTTTTTGTAGGCATTGCCTCTCTGCACAGAAGGTATCTGCTTATTGTGAGAGCCGAAGACAGTTTATGTGCATGCACACAAATTTACACAGTGAAACCTGTCTTAAGCGACTATCCGAAGCACAAGCAAAACTCGTTGGCGGGAGCTTTAAGGAAAGTGAAACAAGTTTGTCTTAGGAAATTTCAAGATACATGTAAACAGTCACCTAAGCAAGGGGTCTGTGAAGGTGCCTGGTCCCTACTGCAGTTTTCACTGTGTATTTCATCAGTGCCACAGCCCCACAATGAGCCCTGTGCAGGCAGGCTTCGAGGTGGGCTCAGAGTCGTGCTGACTTTAGTGGGCCTCACGCACCCACAAAAAATTCACTGTAGCACGTAGGTCTCGATTTGTTGTCCCATAGACTTTACTCAGGAATTGCTCGTGGGCATAGTGCATCAACAGAGGATCACTGGGTTCATCAGCCAACTGAGTCTTATCAAGAGACTGGCAATGGCATATTAATGATGAATGGCTTTGTTTTGTTACTATTGTCTACTATTTTATTAGTTTGGTGAAGGAGTGGTTTCAAAATCTGGCTAGGAACATGGAGGACAAACTAGCAGAAACCTCATCATTGCAGAGACAAAATTAATAGCCTTTCTGAGGTAAAAGAGCCTCCCTCTGTTGTCTGTCAGCAGCTGTCAGGAAACAGCAGTATTTTAGAAAAGCTTGGGAAAATAGTATGTTCAGTTCTGAATATGACACTCCTGATTAAAACTAGATTTTTGGATGGCAAATAGGACTGGAGCACATACCACCTAAATGGAGGGATTTAATTTGCCAACATGTTCTGCAACAGCTCTGAGCAATCAAGTTTACTGAACACTTCTAACTTTTCTAGTATTTTCCAGCATTTTTTCAAATGTTAAGAAGCTTGATCTGTTCCTGGAGGTGGAAGAAGGGAGAGAGAACTACTTTGAGTGATGAAACTAAAAAAAAAAAAAAAAATAGAGTTGGGCCAACTTGGAAAAGCCATTGGAGAAACAATCTATACTTGTTCAAAGTATAAGACAGTTACAAAAAAAAAGTGATATATATGTAGGTATAGTTCTATATAGAAATAGTTCTATTTTTAAAAAGATAGACATAAATATATGTTCTCCACAATTATTACAAATACAGCATACTGTAGAGTAAAAACACCAAAGG